CCAAATCTGTCTTATATATACAAGCATTGCAGTTTCTATTCACAGCAAATTTTAACGGTAAGATCAGATTTTTGGAAGACGTAGAGATTTAATGTTTATATAACCAAAAGAACATAAGAGAACACTTATATCACATGTCATCGAAATGAAGCCAATCGTTTGATTCTTTGTTTTCATTTACCGGACTGGTCTTGGTAGCTGAACCCAGTCTGGTGAATCAGAGTTAGTAACTTTCTTGTAACTCACCGGTACGTCTCCTTGATCGTCTTCTTCAAGATCACTGAATGATACATCTTCTTCGTCTTCACCAAGAGGATGTTTGGTTGTTGCTCCTCCTTTCATGCCGCTAACAGATTCTGAAGTCTCCTCATCGTTCAACCAGTCATCTCCATCGTCTTCTTTTTCATTCTCGACTTGCACGTTGATAAATGTAGATGAAGAAGCAGTTGATGTGTTTCTTTCTTCAATGACAGATTTGTCAACGACTTGTATCTCCTTGCTCTCGATTGGGTGCTTATCTGTTTCAAAGTCGGGTGACTCGTTCAGATTTACGGTTTTAACAGCTGTTGATTCCGGTGAAAGGTTATCAGGCACAGCAAGTGGTTCAATAATTGCAACATTCGCTTCAGAACACTCTGCTTCTACCGGTGCTTTGCTTCCTTTTTGTAACTCGTGGGATAACATTGCTCTTGATTCGAGTACCTATATGCAAACGCAAAAAGGTTAGTACCTATCCGAGAAAACCCGATTAGCAGCACAACTTAAAACAGCTGTGGAATCTAGCAAACCTAATTGACATGGTACTATTCACATTTTGGAACACACAGATTACAGTTATACTTTCTTGGAGGGTAAGATTTGCAGCAGCTTAGGATGAAAAACGTTTGGATATAAAGCGTAAACTCGAGATGGACGGAACAGAGAAACATTTGTCAGTAATGGATTTTAAAGAAATCAACTTTACCTGAGGAGTGGACAGAAGCAAGTCATCTTGTTTATTGAGTTTAGGATGCACAAGTACAAAGTAAATCCTCCAGAAGCAATTCTCACTCATGTACTCTGGACAAAGCTCAATCCTCAAAGAAGCCAAGCTCGGTGCAAGCCTTTCCACGGCCAGAGCGTGCTCGTATTGAGCATCGGTCATTTCAAAGTCTGAAAATAGAGTAGGAAACAGACTTAACATCAAATTCATTCGAAACAGAAACAAATTAAAAAGAGAAAGCTAGAATCACATAATTTGAATAACAAGGTAAACCTCAAACTTCAGTATTGTAAGTTTGATTTGCTCAGACTGAGATTGATCTTCTCATAGAGTAACCAAAATACTGGGGATTTCAAGTTTTCAACTACCCTAGAGTGATTCGATCAAACTACTAAGCACAATTTGGAAATCTCTGCAAGTGTATAGACTATGAATTTCCTACTCAAAACCCCAGAAAGCATTATCACATAGCCAATGAAGATCTGAAACGAAAACTTACCATCAAAGTTATCTTCTTCATCAGGTAAAGGAAAATCCAACCAAGTCTCAGGATGCATCGATAGATCCTTCGAGAAAGCAACTAATTCCTCTGTAACTCCGATCACATCGTAATCCTTCGGATCTACTTCTTCTGATCCCAATTGTAAGAAATTCGAAGCGATCTTAGTGAACTCAGAGACCGGTAAGTTTCCAGAGAGTTTCGAAATCCCCGTCTTGAATCTCCCGCCAATCTCAGCAAAATCGTTCCTAATCCCAGCAATCAGATCTTCGTCTTCACCTTCTTCCGCATGATCAGGACTCTGATTCCTCTCCTGAAGATCCGGAGACGGAGATGGTTGCGAGAGAAACGAAGCTACTCCCCAAAATTGGGTTCTCAATGTCTTCGTAAGCTCGGAGATGTCTTCCTTAACGCCTCGAGGAGACTGTAACTCCGACAACGATAACGACGGCGATTGATTCGAACCAGACTCTTCACCAACCCGTCGCTTATCATCATCTTCATCTTCCTCATCGAGCTTGAGTGAGTTCGCAATGGATCTAGCTAACCAAGCCATA